TTGCTGAGTATGGAGAGTGTTTGTTCTCAAGATGTTCCAGGATCCGGCAGTGTGCGTCTGCAGTGGGAGCCGGTAGGGACCGAGGACGAGTCAGGGGCAGATTTTGCCGTGACTGATGTGTTGGAGCTTGGGAGAGCTTCAACGGGCCTTTCAGTTGTCTGATGTTAGGGCCGCTGCAATAGGAGAGCTGAGGAAGATTACTCGATGTACAGGGAATCGTGGTGGATGGCAGTTGATAACTATCAAGCCTCCAAGTGGGAGAATGTTGGGTTTGTGGAGGCTTGGGCTTGACTTTTGGCCCGGCCCATTTTACGAAACCCTAGATGCACTCTTCCTATATATATTGCATTCTTGTACTTGTAATCGGGACCACAAGTGAAATAAGAAAATCCTTCCATTGCAGCCGTGGATTAGGGAAACCGAACCACGTTAAATTCTTGTGTGTCGTTTGTGTTCCGTTTCTCTCTTGATTCTCGCAGATATTTGTGTGTGTTGCGTGTTTAATCCCCAACAAATATATACTCCCGTATTATTGCAAAGACTCGAATATTAGCCTATGTGTCCAAGCAGAAGGAAATTAGATAAAAAATTCCCGTGACCAAACTCCATTATAATTTATAATTATTTGTAATGGGGTAATGTACGAGTATAATGCAAATGATGATTGGTTTACAAATTACAATAATTAGTTATTTATGGTTATCAAGTACTCTTATCTAGTAGTCTCCCTTCGTTTCAATAAACCATTCATATTTTGACTTCTGATCAAAACAAAGAATGTATATTTATAGTTGATTTTCCAATTTTGTGGCTGCGCTTAATGTGATGAGTAAAAATAAGATGTAATGGGTGGATTATTAGTAAAAAAATATGATCTGATCAATAGATAGATAAGAAAACGTAGAAGTAAAAGTGATTTTTTAATCGAAAATTAAAGTATTTTGGAGAAAAAGAAAAAAACGAAAGAGGGAGTAATAAATTCTATTTTCTCCTCGTTCGCCATACAAAAAATTCATGTTCATTTTAAGGTAAAGAATCCGGAGTACAAATGTCAAACACTTTTTTTTTTTTTTTTTTTAAATTTTATAAGAGCTCCCATTTTATAAGGGTGAAAGGCCATTAAACTAGTAAGGATTTGTTCTTTGAGAGTAGGGGGTCATGGCCCCATCTAAGTTTTGGGTGTAGAGTAAAAAGATTCCGCCCGATTCTGTAGCCACTAGATTCCAGTAGTTACAGAAACCATTGCGCCCCTATAGACGTCTGCAGTGCTCCATTCGTAAAATTGATAATTCTTACCCCGTGTAACCCCCTCGGTAAACCCCCTCCTCCGCCGAGTCTTGATCCTAACTCATCCTCTCACTCACGTCAATTGTACCTCGCAATTTTAGTTGACTTTGAAGTCAAAAGTTTAGACTTTAAAGACAACTATACTTACTGGGTGTAATTGACGTAGGTGGTGATGAGTTGGGGTCGGGACTAGGCAGAGGAGTTTACCGAGGGGAGAGGTAGGAGGGAGAAATCATCAATTTTATGAACGGGGTACCGTAGGAGGGCAGTGGCTTCCGTGGCCACTAGAACCGAGAGGCCACGTATGGAACCAAGCCAAAAAAGATTTTAGGCTTCATGTAAATTGTTTCCCCAAACTCTTTAATACTCCTCCATCCTAAAACTTTCTTCCCGTTGCGCAAAACGAAGAAAAATCTCAAGTTTTTTCAATCTATTTTATTTAAATATTGGTATAGAAATAAAAAATAAAACATACATATTTAAAAACTACATCATAAGTTCAACAAAACAAGTGGTGACAAGAATATTTTATTTTATCATATAGGCCATGAAAAAACACAAGTAAATATAAATTCCCGTGAAGTTGGAATAGTGCCCTGGGAAGAAAGTTTTAGGACGGAAGGGGTATTATACTTTGATCGTTAATATCCATATTTATACATCGATATATTTTATTAAAAAAATTATATTATAAACTACATCTCTTTATATATATATATATATATATATATCATAGTACAATGTATTTTTTTACATAAATTGGAGTCAAACTTTATAAACTTTTAGCAAGAAAAGTGAAATCTGAAGAACATTTTCAGACGGAGGAAGTAATTGTTAAAAAAATAAAATTTCCCATTGACTATTAAAAAAAATTTACATTTAATAAATATCTAAAATAAAAATTATTACATTTTTTATCATTTCATATAGCTATTTTTTAAAAAAAAAAATCCGAGAGTTTGTCCTTAATCCCAACGAATTCGAATAACGCTTTGACTATCTAAATTCGGGCATGAAAGGGAAAAAAATGATTTAGGAAAAGGGGTAGTGTCAACGTGTAAGGGGAAAAGTAGGTGAGCTGGGGCCTGGGGGGGGAGGGGGTAAAATTCATGCACAATCAATTCATACAGCATGCATTGTCTCCTTAATAGTTAGCTCACTCAATCAGTGATTATCATTTGAAAATTACATCAATAATACTCCCTCTGTCCTTAAATATTTGTCACAATTGTATTCTTGAGGTAAAATATTGAGCTTTTTCAATTCATTTTATTTACATATTGGTACAGAAATAAAAAATAAAATTTACATATAAAAAAACTACATGAAAAGTTCTTCGAAATAAGAGGTGTCAAGAATATTTTATTTTATCAAATAACCAATGAAAACGTAGAAATAAACAAAAGTTACCGCGACTACTGAAAAATCAAATGTTGCAAATATTTAGGAACTGATGGAGTATATAATTATGAGTTATAACATGGACTTTTAGCATTGATATTTTAGCATTCTACTGAAATAGTATAGTAGAATGACGCATACTTTATTCACATAGTCAAACTTTATATACTACTCCCTCCGTCCCAGAAAATCTTTCTCCTTTCTTTTTTCATCCGTCCCAAAAAAACACTTCTCATTTCTATTAAAAAGTCACTTTAACCCTTACTTTTTCATACCCTACCTATCACATCATACCTTTTTACTAATAATCTATCCATCAAATCATACTTTTACTCATCACATCAAAGAACATTTTTGGAAATTCAATACCAAAATACACTCCCCTTAAATCTCCCTTCAAAATAAAAACTCCCATATTTTTCGGGACAGAGGGAGTACTATTTTCGTTACTCATTTAATAACAATATAATACAGATTATCGCATAACATTTTTATTATATAATTTTAATTTTTTATGTGAGAAGTTTCACCAAAATGACATGTATTCAGAGTACACCAAAGAAGAATTCAACTAACAATGTTATTTCATATGGGTATAACAATTTGAACTTTATCTTTCTGTTACCTAAATTTTAGATTCCAAATTCTAGCTACCAAAGTTCGAATTTCAAACTCCAATATCTGGATTATAGTTAAAATTTTAAAAAGATTCCAAAAAGAACAAAAACATAGATTTTATATATTTTAAAAGAGTATTGCCCTGGTAATGTGCAACATGTAATTTGATGTTATGTCTGTACATTTCATAGTATTATTTGACATTATATAAGTTTTATTTTGGTATAAACATTGAAAATCCTAATTTGCTAGTTTAGTATATTCTACGTCCGTCCCATAAAACTTTTTTTGTTTTGACTTTTAAGATTAGAAACTCTAGAAGTTTGACTAAGGTAAAACAACGACAATTGAAAAGTGTAGGGCTTGGAAAATGTCAAAATAGATAAGGAATAGAAAATAGTTGAGATATGTTCGCTTAGATTTAAGAAAAATAAAGGCAATCATATCCATTTAGATCAAATTGAAATGGTTTATGGGACAAGGAAAATGTGAAAGTTGAAAAGTTTGCGAGAAAAAAAGTACATAGTACTTCCTTCGTCTCGATTCAAGCTGTTTGTTTCGATTATCATATTTGACTGAAGTTATTTCAAATAATTTTATATAAAAAATAGTAGAACTAAAAAAATAAAAATTACATATTTAAAAACTATATCAAAAGATTTACAAAACTAGCGGTGACATTAATATATTATTTTATCAAATGTCTAATGGAAATAGGAAAATAAAATGAATAAAATTTGACCATGTAAATAAACAAAATAATAAATATGATATTTAATTTGAGACGAAAGAAATATCTTTTTAGTAATTTAGTCCTAGTTATATATTTCTCCCAAATTACTATTACGTCAAATATTTATACTACAATTATCCGGCTCAAGACTTTATATTTCAAATTTTAGACTTTAAACTCCAATTACTAATCTTCAAGCGTCAAACTTGATACTCTAATTAAAATTCAAGTAAATAATATACCCTAGAATCCTAGATAGGGCTTTACAACCAAAAAATAGATGTATTGGACATTTGGACAAGATTAATAGGGTATACATGACTACCATTTTGTAATTTGATTTTACAAAATTTAACAGCCCAAAAAGATTTTTAAATATAAAATGTGGAAAGGAATGAAGAGAAATACCACCTCCGTCTCATTGTCTTTGTCCACATTTGATTTTTGGAAACTGTTCATTTAAGCACTTTGACTCATCAAGTTCTCTTAATGTGTAAGCCTAAAAATAGTCATGTGTGATCTTGTTTGATTCGTCTTAACATATAGATTATTAATATATAATTTGTATAATTTTTTAATATACAAAATACAAGATAAAATAGATTAAAGAAGTGTATTGGATGGTGTGTCAAAAGGTAAATGGACAAACACAGTGGGACGGAGGGAGTATATCAGAAGAACAAATTTTTTTGGGCGTTTCCTAGGGATTCAGTGTCATCCCTAGACCCAAAGTGATAAGAACAAATACTCCCTCCGTCCACAAATAAACTTTACATTGTGCGTTACTCCGTATGATATTTGACTGAAGTTATTTTCGAATCATTTTATATAAAAAATGGTGTAGAATTGAAAAATAAAAATTACATATTAAAAAACTATATCAAAAGATCTACAAAACTAGAGGTGATATGACTATATTATTTTATCAAATGGGTGACAAAAATAGGCCAACAAAGTGAATAAAGTTTGACTTTGTGAATAGTGAACGTAAAGTTTATTTGTGGACGGAGGGAGTATAAAAAATCTAGGAAGGAATGAAGAACTTATAGCAACACATACACCTCTCATTCCATATTAACTCTTTAGTAAGGTACTCCCTCCGTTGCAAAATATTTACAACATTTATTTTTTTAGCAGTCGTGGGAACTTTTGTTTATTTCTACGTTTTATTGGTTATTTGATAAATAAAATATTCTTGACACTTCTTATTTCAAAGAACTTTTCATGTAGTTTTTTGATATGTAAATTTTATTTTTTATTTCTATACCAATATGTAAATAAAATGAATTGAAAAAACTTGATATTTATCTCGAAAATACAAGTGTGGCAAATATTTAGGGACGGAGGGAGTATTTTTGATACATTGAAAAATGAATGAATGTATTCTACATTCATTTATATTAGTGTATTAGGAATGCCTTATTAGAGAGTTCATATGGAATTAAAGGATTAATTTATCGCGGAACTCTAATTTGAAATAAATCACAAGTATTTTTCGACCAAACTAGCGAAAACACTAATCTTTATTGATATCGTGTTCGAACCGAACATTTATACAAATATGTTGTAAAAATAACAATGTTTTTATAATTTTTCATTTAAAAATAAATTGATTTGAAAAGTCAGTTCAAGTATAGATAAATTACAAATAATCTTTTATCTAAATAATGTTTTTAATTTTTTGTATATTAATATAAAAAATTAACAGACATTATTGAAATACTATTTTGTTATTATTCGTTTGATTTTTTTGTTAAATACGAAGTATAAACTAAACTACGTTTTTAAGTATTTCTTGCATTTAATTATTAATTTTTCAATTGTTTATCTTTTTTTATTTGAATGTACTTTCGATTATTTAAAATAAAAAGTTTTGTAGATTTCAAAGTGTAAACTAATTACGTATATATATATATATATTCAACACAATATTTACGGAAACTAGAACTGAACCATACCGAACCAATACTCTGGAATCGGGATCGGTACGATGTAAAATCACATACCGAACCGAAATATTTGGTAAGGTATCAATACGAACAAATACCGTACCACGCTCACCCCTACTTTTAGCAAGAGGGTGATTCTGGTATCGACGATAATCTTATTAAACATAAAATTCGTGAAATATTTGAACACTTAAAAATTTACTACATACTCCCTCTGTCCCGGAAAAATTTTCAACTTGCCCATCTTACATGTCGCATAAAGTATTTCAATTCGGTCTAAGTGGACACAATTGCCCTTACTTTTTAAAATCTAATCGAACTTACTTCAATTACCTTCTATGCCCTATCCATTTTGACATTTCTCGAATCCTATCCGTTTTAATTGTTGTTTTTTCATCATGATCACACTTCTACAGTATCTCCTCTTAAAAGTCAAACAAAAAAAAATTCTGAGACAGAGAAAATTTATTTTTACTCTTGGAAATATTTGGTACTAGCCAAAAAAACAACACACACACCTTTGGACAACATCATTATTTGGTGACCATTGAGCTAACTTATTTGACTTTATTTAAAACTTTAAAGATAATTAAAACAATTTTTTTTCTTTGAAAAAGGGAAATATGTTGTCATTAGATCTTTTGCTAGTGTCTTAACTGAAAAGTTTATAAAGCCACCTTACTGCGTGCGCCTGGATATATATATATCCATCAAACTCCGGGTACGCACCCCACCACCGGAGTTTTGAAACATCTCCGTTTAACGGCTAAATCCAGTCTCTTTCAGCCGGAGATACTCGCCGGGAAAATGGACGAGTCATGGAGGATGAGAACGGGAGTGGAAATACCTTCCACTACGGCGGCGAAAAACACTAGCTTCTCTCGCCGGCGATCGACGGAGGATCCCTCCCGCTGCCGGCGAACGACACCCGGCGACTCGGAAACTCCAGTTCTAGACCCAGAAGATTTCAGCGACGTGTTCGGAGGGCCTCCTCGGACTGTCATGCGCCGCCAATTTTCAGGGAATGGTTACCGGGAGTGTCTGCTGTACGAGGAGATTTTCCTGCCGCCGGAGAATGTTGTCCCGGCGAGCTGTGGACGGAAATTGCCCGAATTCAAGATTCCTATGGATAAGTGCGGCCGGATGGATGATGAAGGCTTTTACAGCGACATATTCGGGTGGGAAGGAGAAGAAGACATGAGAAGATCGAGGACGAGGTCCGGGTCGAAATCCAAAGCAAGCTCGTCTTCCGTTTTGAGCTCGGAGAACGTCAGCCCACTCCGGCCGGCGATCGGAGAAGCCGATCCCGACGTTTCCTTCTTCTCTTCAAAGCTCAGGTTCAGCTAAAAATTCAATTCCAGATGAACATAATTTGTTTCAATTGCTTTTTTACCTAAACCTAATTTGTTTCAATTCCTTTTTTTTTGCAATTTCTAGATGCGATTTACAGTTCTCCTTATAAAATTGAACCCTAAGGACATCATCTGTTTCTAGTGCCTTTTTAACCAACTAAATGAATAGATTTCTATGGTCATGTTGTGTTTGGAAAACTGTTTTGTGCTATCATATCTTATGTTATTGTTAGAATCTCACATCATAATATTGAAGTGAGGACAACTTCATTTAATATATGATGCCATGGTTTGTAGTTCCGAAGCAGTTAATCCATTGGATTCAATGTTTTAAACCTAAAACAACACGAGTTCTATTGCAATTACATGTGGAAATTTGAGTTTTCTTTTGATTTTAGGCCAATAAATGTGCCGTCCAGATGGAGCGCGCGAAGATTGCCTGATGAATACCCAGGAGGACATCATGGAATGCCGGCATTTTCTTGCCACCCCACTCCTCAAGATACGGAAAATAAGCCCAACGAGAGCCTCCGTAACCCTCACTTTGGGTTCAGCAGGAGGAATTCGTCTCCCGAAACTATAAGTGTTGACCCCAACTCTTATAGAAGCCTCAAAATCTCCACGGATCACGATTTGGATCCCAATTCTCCATCTTCTGTCGGTTCTTCTATCGGTCAAGACCTAGAGCCTGGTCTAGCCAGCATAGTTCAAGATAAGGTTGTGAGCGATCACGTAGTAGTTTCAGAAGAAGAAGAAGAAGATGACGACGATGCTACAAGCTCATATGTTATTGAGATCAACGCGAGCAGTTTTAGAGAATCGAATAGTGAAGCGATTGGTGTAGATGAAGCAATTGCTTGGGCCAAAGAGAAGTTTCAGAAACACTGCTCCGAGCTACGGGGTCAAGGAGAGAAAGAGCATTCAGGTTTGGTTCTATTTGTTAGAGTATAAAACCGTTTTTGGGCTTACAACCAAAGGCTCGAGCTTTTGTTCAGTTGGTTCCTTCATACTATTCGAGCTGATTATTTTCTCCTTTTCAATTACTTCCCAATTCACAATTTTTTTTGTTTGTTTTTGCAGACATTACAAGCACACATCAGTCATCTGATGAGCGGATTGACGGGAATGAGTTTAAGCAAGCAAAAGTGGTAATTAACTTAGCTTCAATACTTGGCCTTCTACTGCACTTGAAAATCTACACTCTTTTTTAATTTCTTCGTCCGCAAACCACTTGTGTAGATTGAGAAAGTAGACAAGAGCGCAAAGGGAGAAGGAAGACAGAGTTTTGAGACTGATGTAAGCTTTCCTAATTTTGACTGTCTACTGGAAACATTCAATCTTCTGTGTTATAGTTGGAATCTAACGTTAATATGATGCAGATGGAAATGGAGTTAATAGATGAAAAGATACGGTTATGGTCAACCGGCAAGGAAGCTGACATCCGGTTGCTCCTCTCAACACTGCATCGTGTAAGTTCTCTTTTGGTTTTCATACCTATGAGATAACAGATATGGAGCATTTATGCTAACATCAATGTGAGGAGAATATTAGAAAATTTACAATATATGGAAATATCCTCTAGTAGTAAACATCATCATTCAAACAAAATAACATATTGATTACGATTTAGGAAAAAAACATATGTTCTGTGTTGTTTTTTTTGAAAACGAAGAATGACCCGCGTGGCCTTTTGCTTGTGGAATTCAGATTCTATGGTCTAACAGCGGTTGGCTTCCGGTTCATTTGGCTTACTTAATAGAAAGTTCCAGAGTGAGGAAGGCGTATCAGAAAGCTAGGCTTTGCCTGCACCCCGACAAGCTTCAACAAAGAGGCGCAACCGTTCTGCAAAAACACATAGCAGAAAAGGCCTTCTCAATCCTCCAGGTACCATTCAACTTGTCCATTTTTTTTTCACTAAAATTTGGAGAACAGAATAAGGGGGGTAGTCCCCATTTTGTAACCAAGAATGGGTATAGCTTAAAGACCACTCAAGTGACCATCCATGCCCATTATGGATTATTCCTTTCCTAGGCTTTTTATGTTGGCAACCAGGTTTCTTTATGATTCATTCATATTGTATTCTTTTGGACTGTCATTTCTCATTTTCTTGTTGTAATTGTAGAAATATAATAACCCACACCAAACAAACCAAGGAGTAGGTCTGTTCCAATCTAGAGTAGGGTTCGGGTAGGTGGCTGGCTATTGCCGACGCAGACCTTATCCCTACCCCAAAGAGTAAAGAGACTGTTTCCGAGAGGACCCCGATAAACACTAATACCTAACGCGAGGAGTGCAAAAAAAAACAAAACAAAACAAAAAACTTTACCATAAAAAAGACTTAAAAAAATATATTATTAGATTAATGAACTTAATCTTTGATTCGAGACGGGTCACGTCATATAATACCTCTCTAACTTGTAGTGTTGATGATGGTGATAATATTGTTTGCAGGAAGCATGGGCCGTGTTCCTTTCACAAGATATCCGCCTTGGTTGAATGTGGCCTTAGGCCAAATAGTGTGTCGGCTATAGAAGCCAAATCCCATTGAGGTTTGATGCAGATTTGAATAATGACAAGGAGATGGCAATGGAAGAAACAAGGGCAGGAAATTGCCAAACACTTGGGACACCAACCCTACAATGCACCTGAAATCTGATTATGTGTAGGGGGGGAGTCCTTCTCTAGGGCTGTCTGCCGGTTCAAGAGATCAAAGTCATGTACAATGCACCTCCTTTCATTTTGGGTGGATGCTTGTGTTTGTATTTAACTCTGTGTCATCATTGTTGTTGTTGTTATAGAAGACAAGTTTTGAACTTTTGATAGTGATTTTTGTTTATTTTTTCTTTTTGAAAGCTTTGATAGGCTAGATTATTTCTGGTGTAAGTTTTGAGTGCTGTTATATGACACCTCTATGTTGTCTTATTGTTCATATACTTCATACTCCGTATTTAATTCACTTGGTGTAAATCTTTTTGTTCTTTCCTGTTCATATTTAATTTCTTGGTCAATTTTGACACCAGAGATGACAATATTTGTACATGATATAATTGTATCATTCGCCCGTCACATTGAGTTCACACACAATTATATCTTGTATGCATATAAATTTATAGAGAGTTGTCATTTGTGTTTTCAAATTCGTGCCATTCTGACATTTTTGCCTTTCCTATAGTGTGAACTTGATAAAAAGTACACGCGAAATATAGAGATATTTTTATATATTATTTATTGGCCTATTGTTGGATCTCTTTCATTTTACGAGACCCAATACATATAACCGTTACATGTATTACGGTCCGTTTGGTATACGGAATTGATGGAATTAAAATTGAATTAGAATTAAAATTCCATAGGATTCAATTCCATAAAATTGAATTCATCAATTCTAATTCATTTTTTGCACTGACAATTCCAAATTTACATAATTTTTGTGCTACCAAATATCAGAATTGGAATTGAAAACCTTAATTCCAATTCCATAATTTGAATTCCGTGTACCAAACGGGGTCTTAAGGTTTATAGAATGAATAAAGGACTTATAGACCACAAAAAAAGTTGCCTAACCTATCATAATTATATACGCAGGGCCGGCCCTAACATTTTATGGGCCTTAGGTTGGCTTCTCTTACAATTATTTTTTAAAAAGAGCAATATCACTTGATAAATTAAAATGATTGAGGGTGACATATAAATATTGTATTACATATATTAACTTAAAATTGAATGTTTAAAACCCCAAACTAATTATTTTTTTAGAGTAATATGTGATTAGTAGTCTAGTACTATTAGAGAAAAAAATAATTATGAGCTTCCTTATGAAATGGGCTCCTTATGCCTACCCCAAGGCCGGCCCTATATATACGCTTCTAAGACATGTATTGGTCAAACGTTATTACTAAAATTAGTTTTTTTAAATGTGTTATATGCAAAGCATGCAAATAAACTGATCAACTCGGGTTTAGTTATGATACTATCAGGTTTAGATTATTTCGAAGTATATAATCATTAAACCCATCATGGTAGGCTGACATCTTATTTTCTAAAATTTATTTTTACGACAATTTTTATTTATATATTTCATTGATTATTTGATAAAATAAAATATTCTTGTTATCACTTATTTTGTAATACTTTTGATAAAGTTTTTAAATAAATTGAGCATGCAAGTTTTATTTTTTATTTCAATGCTAAATTTTAAATACAATGAATTCATTGAATTGAAACAAATTGGTATTTTACTTTGTTTTAGCTTCCATGCAATCCATTTAGAGACGCAAGGGAGTATATATAAGACTCCAAGGGGGCTGGGAGAGAGGGGCTTGGGGACAGGGGTTTAGAATGGATATAGAAAAATAAGAATCGTCAATTTTACTATTAGATCATTAGAGGTGCCCAATTCAACTTCTGCCTCAATCTTACACTAAATAACTTGTGTAAGATTACCATCTCTCGTTATATATTCATTATATATTCATAACAACATAAAACGATATAATTTTGAAGATCCGATTTGTTCAGCTTGGTTTGGGTTTCTGAGTGAATTAAAACTGAAATATGACAACAAAGTTTAGTTTACATACAATTTTGGACTAAGCCTTTACAGATTTATTTTTGGGCACTTTCTAAAAAGCCTTGTACAAACAAAGTAGGGTAACCATATGTATTTAGGTCATTCTTGTTCTTCACTCGCGATGTGGGATGTAGTTAGTACCTCTGCAAAAAGTGGTATGATTTTGCTACTATATTAAATGAGTGACAAAATATATATAGGAAAAAAGTGGTTAAAGTCTGACCATTTGTTATAATCATTTTTTGTTTCTCTTGTTGAGTGTAATCTCATCTCAACATCCTTTATTTCTCTTTCTTGCTCTTTTGTTTATCATTGTTCTACTATATTGTTGTTCATACCCTTGCTAGGAGGGTTGAGAATTATTTTGATGAGTTAATGATTTTTTTTCTTCAATTTTTATTATAACCATGCTTAGTCCACAAATCCGTGGATTTCTCATCTCTCTTTTTTGAATGATATTGACTCTATTACAATAGCATTCAAAAAAAGATGGAAAATCCACCAATATAGTACTCCCTCTATCCACCATAGATCTTCCCAGTCACTATTCACAGGGTCAAACTTACTCACTTTGTTTACTCAATTTTACTAGTAATTTCATAAAATAATATAGTCTTGTCACTTCTAGTTTTGTAGAACTTTTCATGTAGTTTATTATTATATAAATTTTATTTTAAAATTTTACTCCTATAATCAATTAAATTGAATTGAAAATAAAGTCGGTCAAGCCTCGTAACGCGTAATGGGAAGATCATACATGGACGGAGGGAGTACATCTTTTGGAAAGCTACAAGAATAAAAGCAAAAGAAAATCCTAATTTATTAATAAATTACAAATTTTAAAAATTCCAACTACATTGATATTGTCTTCTAACCACCAAATTAAAACAAAATGACGCATATCAATATATCTCCAAAATCTTTCTTTAATAAAGTGGATATTTTTGTTTATCAAAAAAAGATAATACGGATATTATTATTTTGTAACTATTCTTGTAAGTACTTACTAGTGGTTATCATTCGGCTACCGGGCTTGTTGTGCTGACAAGCCCATCACATGTGAAAAAGCCCATCACTGTTTGTTTTAGCCATATATCGATTTTAAACACAATCATTGCTTCGAATCCACCAAGCAGCGCCTTGCCAACTTTTTTTTTAAATGGGAAAAATTCGCTTCGGATATTTTTTAATTTATTCCATTTTCTTTTAATTCGTTTTAGTTTTTTTTTTACGAATTTTTCAATTTTTTCCTAGTTTCTTCACACTCGTTTCAGTTTGTCCAAAAATGTCTTTAGAATTTTATTTAGGTACATTTTTATATTATTCTCATTACAATTATTATTATTATTATTATTATTATTATTATTATTACTATATTATTATTGTTGTTGTTGTTGTTGTTATTTTTGTTATCATCATCATCATCATCATCGTTATTAGTATTATTGATATTTTTATCCTTATTATTATTACTATTATTATTATTAGTAGTATTACTATTATTCTAATCTTTTTTATTATCAATATTAGTATTGTTTTTGTTGTTATTGTTAATAATAATAATAGTATTATTATTATTGTAATTATTATTAGTTTAATAATAATAATAATAATAATTACTACTACTATTATTGTCATTATCATCATCACCATTGTAATTTGATAAAATAAGACTAATATCAAAATTTATATAAAAAAGTTATATGTCCCAAACCGAATGTTAGTTACTACTACAGAGTTAATATAAAATATTAAAATGTTAAATAAATTTATTTATTATACCTCCCATAACTGTGTTTCTTTGTTAATCGAGATGATGTTAGGTTACTTATGTTAATTTTCTATTTAATTAAAACTAATAGAAAAAATGCTCCTCTTCCACATTTTTGGTGCATGTTTTTGTGGAAAGCAAAATAAGAAATAAAAATGTGCACTATTGATACTGATTTAAAGAATTTAACAAAAAGTAATAATAAGTATGAGTCAAAAAGTATTACTATACTTGTGATTTGAAATAAAAGTAGTTTAACATATGAAAAAATAAAAAGAGATAATTAAAATAAATGAAGTATAAAATATTTTAATAAAAATATGAATTTCAAAAATATAATGCTTATTTCAATACTTTTTAAAAAATTTTCTAACATATTCCAACTTCTTCTGGTTTGTTGCAAATCTTTTCAGATTATTTTAACTTCTTTCAGTTTCTTCCAATATCTAATTCTGAAATTCGAACTCTAAGAGGGTGTTTGGGAGTGATTAACTTGTGGATAAAGTGATTTCCACAAAAGCTGAAAGCAAAAACACCTCATACCTGCTTCTCCGAAACGGTGTTCTATGTACAAAATAGTGGTAGTGAAAAGCAGAAACTGACATGCCAAACAGAGTAAAATCACTTTCACTCAAAGCAGAAGCTAAATTATTAAAAGCAGCGCACTGCCAAACACCCTCTAAGGAAGATGCTCTAAATTAGTTTACTAACGACATGTTTGGAATCTAGAATTTGGATATCAAATCCGGATTTGACTCGAATTCCATGTTTGAAAAATTTTAAAATTTTGGATTTAAATTTGAGGCAAATTCCTCTAATTCGTTACAAAGCTCAATTTTAAATTCATATGTCTCCCTTTGTTATTTAGAAGTCAAGTACTAAAATTTTTGTTTTGAAATGCAAAAATTGAAATAAAATACCAGTTCTTAAAAACTGCTTAGGCGAAATAAAATAAGTTAATTGGATATTTGGTTAATCATTTTCAGTTATTCGGATTGTAGTTCAATAATATTATGACCCCTCTTCTATCTTTATTCTTATTGGAATTAGTTAATATCAGATTTGATCAGGTCAAGTGAGATTAGAAACAGTTTTAAGTATAACTACATTTAAGAAAGGTCAGACTATATCAAAATTTATTTCAATTAGATCAGAATTATCCAGATCAAGTGAAGAACAAGCCTTAAGTAATCCCAACAATCGAAACTGGTAGGGTAGCTTACGGTATGAGACCCCACAAAAACCTTTACCCCGTTCTTTGTAAGTTCGTGGGGGCGCGGCGGAAATCACCAGTTGAAAGTTATGCAAACAAATCAACCAACTATGCTGCAGAGAAGATGTTGCAGCACTGTCACAGTAACAGATGACAGACAGTGTGTTATAACACTTCTCTGTCACAATCACACAAAGATAGAAGCAGATGATGCAGAGGGTGTTACAGTGCCTACAGGGCAGAATGCTGTAACTATAAAATGCGAATAAAAATAACACCAAATATGTTTACGCAGTTTGGAGAAACTCTCCTAATCTGCGGGGCCTACGTCCGTGTAATAGCCCTCCACTAAATCACTAGATGCAAGTTACACCGGTACATAA